TATATGTTACTTATGTTATCTTTGTGATAAAAATCTGTTGGACTAATACAAATTCTTTTACTTTGCTTTGTTTTCATTTGGTTACAAAACCGTGCAGATATGAAAAATTCTTGGAAGATTTAAGACAAGGGAATTTTTTGCTTAAAGGTACAATTTGGCCTTGACAAACTAATTGGTTCTTTATAGCTCAATTAGTTGGAGCATATCGGATTTAACAATAGGTTCCCCTTCCCAGAGGGACACAGATTCAGATCTTGTCAGAAGCTGTAAGTTTTTCTATAAGATTTCTTGAACATTCAGACTAGTAGATAAAAAATATACATTTTAATAAATAAATGGACCATCTACTCAAATACAAGTATCTACTAAAAGTAACATTTAAAGTGATTATATATATATATGTGTGTGTGTGTGTGTGTGTGTGTGTGTGTGTCTAAATAAAATTCAAGTCTCATTTTAACACATCTTCCCCACTGGAGACAGTTTTATCCAAAGAGAAAAAAAACTTTAACCCATTCTGAACAGAACAAAGTAAATAATTCCATCATTTTTCATTAGTCTACAGAAGAAACTTAACCAATCATGCAAATTGTGAATTTGTGGTGATAGTGATGTTAGAGAAAGCATGCATATTTGTACTCTGCCTTTTAATCTGACAAATAGCCAAATTTGTTGACTGCTCATTTTTTTTTTTTTTTAAATTGCTAACAAAAGCAACAATGCTTTTTAAAAAATGCTTTTCTTGAGTGAACAGAATTTTATCTTAATGGTGAACATCTGAGAGTGATATACGTCAATAAATACATTAGACAAACAGACAGACAAAATACTGTTCTAAATGACACTACCCCTAATGTCAATGATAGGAAAGAGGAAGGGAAATTGATTTACGGCTGAAATGTGAACATTCATTGTGAAGTGGTTCATCTAGTCATGCCTGATCAGTTTTGTGGGTTGCCACTTGGTTCTTACCTGATTTATGACATCAACCTGATAACAATTTAAAAACAAAAAATACTTAATTCTGTAACACAAAAAAGACAGGTAAATTTAAATAAAAAATAAAATGAAAAAAAATCTTAGTTTTCTTTGTAGTGAATGGGTTTTAATTCAATTCAAATGAACACAAAATCTTAATGCAAATAAACAAATCAAAAATGGAAAATCTTATGAGAAAACAGATTTGTACATTTAACATTTAATACTCTGCATCCTTTACAAATATTACTTCCCCTTTTGCTGCATATGGAATCCCCCTCAAAATATGTTTTATATATTAGTTCTATATATTTGAAATTGCAGTAGCCTGGCTTTCAAGTTCAGTCAAGATTGTTTTAGGTGTTGCCATAGAAGGATATGACAGCACAATCAATAAACTGCATTGTCAGCACTAACATTTTGCTTGGCAAAAATAGTTACCTACAGAGTGCTAATGGTTAAGGTATTGAAATACCAAGTGAACATTAAAAAATAACTATTTTATTCTTGCTGAACATATAGATCAACTGCCTATTTTATTATTATATATTAGGTTAAATGTAAAGTCCAGTAAAAACAGGCTTTTAACATTCAATATCTCCAAAATCAAGTTGGTAATGTCACATCATTACTGAATCAACCCTGAATTTTCTCTCATCATGGCAGACATTTGCACTCTCAATGCAGCCCATTACCTTGAATGTTTACAGGGACTAAAATTTACCCCAGACCTAGAGTGTAACTCATATATATGATCAATCACTAGAGAGGCTGGGAAAATAGTCGGTTTCTTGAACCCCTCCAGAAAATAACTGAGTTTTTTTGTCTATGCTCTATCTTTACAAGAGATGGATCAAGCTAGAATATGGAATATTGCAGCCATATTTTGGTTGAAGCAGTCCAATTCTCACTTTTCAACCTTGACTGATGTCATTCAAAACATAAATATCAGACCTCCAAAAAATCTAGATGGTCAAAGCCTAGCAGCTGATCTGTCCTTTGATCTATCTCTAACAGCGCAATGGGGGAAAAACTGATTTGTAATATTCAATACATCCAAAACTAAGCTGGTAACATTTCATCATCACTGAACAGACCCTGAATTTTGTCCAGTTATGATGAAGGATTGTACTCTCAATGAGACTCCTTGCCTCAAATGTCTATTAAGACTCACACCAGATCCCAAGATGAACTCATATATGATATATATATATATATATATATATATGATATATATATATATGATATATATATATATATATATATATGATAAATCAATAAGGAAAAACATTATTAAAAAACGCTATAAACACCCACTATATATAATTTCTGGTGAAAATAAAAGCAAAAATTGTCAAACATTTGAATATTTTTTTTTAAGTTAGGCTTAAGCTTTCGGCTCACATGAGCCATCTTCAGAGTGGTTATACAGACGTTGAAACAAAGATATTAACCATCAAAGACAATATTTTGAGCCGAAAGCTTAGGACTAACTTAATAAAAGAATATCCAAATGTTGGACAATTTTTGTCTTTATTTTCACCAGAAATTAACACAAACATACAAAGTTTAGAACAACTCATGATCAGACATGATAAACATTCATTGTTTATTATATTTATTTATATTGTATATAATAATTGATTTCTAAGCAGTGAAATTAATGTCTACCAGCCTACAAATTGAGAAGACATACTAAAGAAATTGTGACTCCCAAAATTTAATCGGTATTCCTTTTTTTTCCAATCAGGGAAACTACTTTTAAGCCAAGTCTGCCTTATCAATTAAGACATTGAAAGTTGTCATGACAAAACAAGTTTCAATTCCCCTATTTTTAAAATTTGTTTGGACTTCTTGACCGCTAGACTAGTAGACATTAATTTAATTGTTTAAAAAGAATAACATAAAAAAAAAGATGTATGTATTCAAACATTTACTCACTATACATAATATTTCTAAGAAGGAATAATGTAAAATTAAAAAATCCATTTATTGTTTAAAAAAAAAAAATATATATATATATATATATATATATATATATATATATATATATATATATATATATATATAAACAACCCCGTAGACTCAACCAAGATGACCAAAATTAGTAACTGAATAGTTAAAGAATTCAGGTAATTCAGATATTGCCAATTATAATAGAATAGGCCAGGTGTTTTTTGTTTTTTATTTCCTCCAATGCCTGTAACTTTTTTTTACATTCACCAAAGTTAAGCAATGTTGAGACTGGTTAGTACCTAGATGAATGTCCACTCAGGAATACCAGGTGCTATTAGCTTGGATGTACAGTTGGTGTAATGGATAATGGCTTGGAATTGTTAATCGGAGAGCTAAGTTCAGGTTCGTTATATTAACTTCTGCACAAATATCCTTGAGAAAGGTATGAATCCATCTCCTGCCCAGCTATAGGTTAATTAGCAATACTTGTATCACTAAACCATTATTTTCTCAAAAAAAAAAAAAAAAAAAAAAAATTTAAATTCTTAGAATTTAAAAATATTTTCTGGCTTTAAATAACCTGCAATAGGGTGATAAGCTGTAAAAAAAAAAAAAAAAACAAATCAATGTAACTTCTTGCTTATCTCCTTTCCACTGGTAATTTATTTAGAATTAAAGACTTACATGTGAAAACTTTATAATAATAGTCATGACTTTAAAAGAAATATGCCATATGCCAGCATTTTTGCTGGTATGAGAAAATAGCCAAAAAGAAAAAAAAACAAAAACAAAACAAAAGCTGATTTCTAGTTTTCTTTAAGGAATCAGACCAGAGAAACAGTTTGTGTTTGCATCAATATTAATGCATTATTTCCGATGTCATTAAAACTTAGTTTCGTGGTGCTTCCTACTTTGATAATTTCCTAAAATTGACATTAATGGAATCCATCTCAATCTTATTAGCTGCTAAAATAGAAAACCACAAAATGGTTCAAAAATGTATTAGACATCTAAAAAAATATATAAAGTTTATGAGGAGAGGAAGAGAATTAGAGGGAAAGAAGGAACTGTTAAAAAAAGAAATTGTTGCATAAAATAGATTAGCTTCAATGTTAGCAACAGTCTGTGAATAGAGAATATATTAATCAAAAATCTCCTGGTGACAGCTCTGCATTGCACTAAGACTAACTGTTTCCTGGTATAGCCAGAAAACTACCTCACTATTCTTTCTTTAAGACTGCATAAAATTACACTGGCATCAAATTCTGTCTGTCATTCTTTTCTCTTCTCCTATTGCCTATTCTACTTCAATGTTCCTGGCAAAATAACCACAGAACAACAATGAATGGATTTAAATGAAAATACAAAGAGAATGATCCAAAAGCCATATAAGTTTGAAATAGTTTTCGAGAGATTTTGATTGGAAAAGTTAGCAAGCCTTTAACTATCAAGACTTGTTTCGATTGGGTGCAAGAGATTTTTCCACCAGACAATTCAAAACAATTTAGAATGAAGCTAACTTCTTACAAATATCTGACAGTAGATAAAAACTGATTAGTAAGCAAGTAGTTCATTCTGATTGTTAAGTTTGTTCATATCCAATGTATTGTTTTAATTCAATAAAGCATTATCAACCTGGACTAATTTTGACTACTCATGATGTAGATTGATTAACTGCATAAAAATAAAGAGGAAAGTAAATACATAGAAAAAAATGAATGTTTTGTTTATATCATCCTCAAAATCTTAAATTGAAAATGAAGATAAACAATTCGAGTTGACATACAGATTCAATGAGGTCAGAGATTTTGCTGTTTGACAAATTAGCACCTGATTTATATATAACTTTGAGAAGTATCACTGGCATACTGAATATTGTTTGGATAACTGAACTCCTTTTCTCATAGACTTGTTTATTCTTATCAGCACAGCTGATCCATTCACCATTTCTTGTTAGAAAGGGTTTTGCAAGGGTATTTGCATGTAAGTGAATGATGACAACTGAAATTGGAATTCTGATCTCCAATCCCAAGCCGTTATCCATTACACCACCAGCACCTCCAAACTTACAGCACATGGTGTTCCCAAGCAGTCAACCATCTAGATACTGACCAAGCCCAACAATGCTTAACTTCAGTGATTGTATGAAAACTGGTATTTCAATGTGGTCGCAAGCCCACACTTCTTTATATGTTAATAAACAATATATTCTTAAGTAAAAGACTTCTTACTTAAAAATTTCTTGAGTAGATATATTAATTTAATAAGCTAATTAAAAGTGATATGTCAGTCTGACACAGAACACATTCTTCAAGCAAACCATACCAAGGTTAAGTTTTCATTGGCAAAAGGCCTTTGTAAAAGTTTTAAAAGTTTGTTAGCATATTTTAAGATTACAAGTTAAACCAATACCAAGAATTTCTTTCTGCATATAGTTTACAATAAGGTTGCACTGATTAAATAATTGATAATTTAATTACTCTCAATAAAATTTGGCAAAAGAAAAAAAATTAATTGAAAACTTTCAGGATCTCATTTAAATTCATTTTAATATAACTGGTGATTCTTAAACCAGTGCATGAAAACTGATCGGCAAAAACAATGTCATTTACACTATTTAGATGTGAACTATTGTCCTCATCTTTGTTGTTGTTATCACAATATTTCGGCCATTGTACTCTCTGACCATCATAAGGTTTATGTCAATCAGAGTAATGTATATGGAACTATAGCCTAGTGGATTAAAGTGTTGGTTCAAGAATTTAGTAACATTAATTATGAGTTCAATCCCTTGGCTAGACAGTGTGTATTTGGACTCAGTAAAAACAAGGCAAGTAATAAGTGAACAGTACTAAATATAAGAAATAGACAAGACATCCCTAGACATAGGCAGGGGAATGAGAACAGTCTAATTCCATAGATTAAATAAAGGGTTCAGTTCAGAATTCTCTGTAAGTTATCCAGATAGACATACACCTGAAGAAGAACAGGGGGCACTACGGCAGAAATGTGGTGATAGCAACAACAAAGATAAGGACAATAGTTTGAATGTAAATAGTGTAAATAATGATAACTCCTCATCCTAGAAATTCAGACAGAAAAACAAAGTTGTTATGACCAATTACTAATTATCAGTTGATTAATGAAAACAATCCTAAAATTACAGTCACTTGATATTGATCAAACAACAAATCAAATGAACTGACTGAAAAAAGAAATGTTGAATGAATCAAACAAGAAATTATATTAATTATAATAGTAACTGATGTTTGAATTTTGTTAGGGTTTTTTAATAATATGTGTTTTTTAAGGACTAATTTCTTCACATTATTCGGACTATTGTCCTCATCTTTGTTGCCATATTTATTATAACGTTTTGGCCGTTGTATGCTCCGGTCTTCTTCAGGTGGTTGGAATGTCGAACTGAACCCTTTATTTTGCTCACTGGGGTAGACTGTTCTAGTTCTACGTGCCATGTTTAATGGATGTCAGATATCAGTTATCTCCTGTTAATTCCCCTCTTCAAGTCCTCCACTGCCTTAACTGGGTATTGAACTCACACTCTTTGGGTCTTTTCATTGTCCTCAAGGACACATGGCACAGTGGATAAAGGCGTTAGTTAGATCCAGTGACAGGACCCAAAGAGTGTGAGTTCAATACCCGGTTAAGGTAGTGGAGAATTTTCAGAGGGAAATTAACAGGAGATAACTGATAACTGACATCTATTAAACATGACACGTGGAACTAAAACAGTCTACCCAAGTGAGTGAAATAAAGGGTTCAGTTCGACATTCCAACCACCTGAAGAAGGCCAGATCATACACCAGCTGAAACGTTGTAATAAATATGGCAATAAAGATGAGGACAATAGTCCAAATAATGTAAATAATGTACATAATAACTCATCACAGAAATATAGACAGATAATTTCTTCACCTTCTCTCCCACCAAGTTTCAGGGGGGGGGGGGCTACTGGCCCTTTCTAAGTGCCTGTGGGTGCATTTATATCATCCCCCTTTTTTTTCTGCATCTTTCTGTTCCTGTGTTCTTCTACAGCAAGCTCCATATTGACCTACTGACTGCTACCTCTTGGTTAATGGTATCTGCATGTTACTAATATTGATACTAGGTTTGCTTATTAAATCCTTCAAATAAAGTAGAAGCAATGAGTAACTCAAGTACTTGGGCACCTCGATATGGTGTAATGGTTAGCAAGCTACTATCACTAGAATAATTACGGCTAAGTGAGTTCGATCCTAACTGGGTGCCTCATATTTACAGCCTTGTGCCACATTTAAGCTATGCTTAGAAAATCATTACCACAATTGTTGTATGTTAACACAATAAATCTCGAGTAACCCAAGTACTGACACTAGTAACATGTGGATATCATTAATCAAGAAGAAGTAGGTAATGAACTTGAGACCTAATCTATTTGGTAGCACACACACAAAACTCAAGGAATGCTCAGGAAGCCAGGGTAGAGTAACTCCAAAAACACAGGATGAAAAAAAAAAAAAAAAAAAAAAAAAAAAAAAAAAAGAAGATTAATCTTCACATGAAGTGCATGATTGTGAAACTAGGGAGGTGCACTTGCTCTTCCAAAATAGGGGGGGGAGACAAGGAAAGGGACAAAAAGTATACAATTAAGAAAGAGAGGTGAAGAAAAAGAAATAAACACATACAATAATAATAATTGATTTACCCTAAATATTTTTCTTACAAAACAACTCAGTTTTAGCGTTTGTGTAAATATATTTTAGTTAATTCACAATGTAAGCAATTCCTAGGCACACCAAATAAAAAAAGGAAGTCAATGGAAAAATGGGGGACCATTAATATTATTTACTTTAATATAATCATTTTCCAGCATATATTGACTGACCAATACTTACACTAGTTTCATGCACTTGCACACAATCCCCAGGCAGTGTGTGTGTGTGTGTGTGTGTGTACGTACATATATATAATTAATTTATTGCTTAAATATCATTTTTAATGGATAGTCATACAGTAGTTACTCTGTTTTTATTTATTAAACAGTATATTTATTTATATCTACCAGCCTAAATATATGTTTAGGCAATAAATTAAAACATGTTGGGTTAATAAATGAAAAATCTATTCATATCAGAAAAGGAAGTTAAAATATCCTAAAAATATAAATGTGATTTCTGATGTGTGTGTGTGGGGGAACAGAAAAAAATAATCAATGCATGCTTGGGAGCGCAGACTTAGACACAGTGGAAATTGAGCAGTATTAGTATTTTTGTTCAGCTATGTCTTGTGATATCTTGTCTTTGTTCTTATTTTAGGACAAGATATCACTAGACATAGCTGAACAAAAATAATCTACCCCCATAGAGTTAATAATGGCTGAAGGTATACCTGAATCACAAGCATCTGAAGAACGCCAGAAGATATAATTGCTGAAACACTATGATAACAACAAAAATGGGGTCAATGGTCAATAATGTTAACTCCTCATTCCAGAAATTCAGAGAGAAAAAAAATTTTTTTTTAACAATTATTATTTAATTTATTTACATTTTTAACAAGATTGTGTTCAGCAAAAAAAAAGTCAGACAGACAAGATATTTCTGGAAAATAATGCTTTTAAGGTAAATAGTCTTTCTAATTAAAGTATGCATTTTTTTATCTGGTTTTATTCTACAATAAATAAACAAGATAATTAAATTCAATTTCACCATGAAGCCTCCTGAGAAAAGGATTAAATCTCTGTAAAACTCACAGTATGGACAATTGGTTGTTTGTTTAACTGCATATCCACCTCTATGGTTTATTTAATGCTAAAATCTTAGTATTTTGTACACAATTTCATTTTTAGAGGTGATAATAATTGTTTTAATGATACAACTCTTACTAATTAACCCATAGCTGGGTGGAGAACAAATGGATTCATAGCTTTCCCAAAGGTATTTGTGTGTAAGTGAATATCACAATCCCAATTGGAATCAAAATTTGGCTCTCTCATTAAAAATTCCAAGCCATTACCCATTACACCACCCACATATTTAAGCTTACAGCACCTGGTATTCACAAGTAGTCACCTATCTAGATACTGACCAAGATCAACATTGCTTAACTTTGTTGATTGTATGGGAATTGGCATTTCAACATGTGGCTGTAAGCCTCAGAGTAGGGACAAGTAGTGAACTTAAAATTTTATATGATACTATTTATAGTTTTATAATAATTACAACTACCACTATGCATAGTGATTCCAAATCAGATTCAAATACTATATTTATTTATCAGATTATTTATAAACATATCTTATTTCCAATACACACATAGCTTACTCAAGGTTATCAAGCTCTGTGGGTGCTGAATTAGAAAATAAATTTAATGATAATAACAAGCACTTTTGACCTGTTCTGATAATAGCAATGATTGTCTTTTTTTGATTGTTTTCATTATTTTTCTCCAGATAAACCAACAATTGATAAAAAGAGTTCATGTTAGGGAACAATAACAGTGTAGTTTGTAATTATGAATAGAGATGATGAAATTTTATCAATTTCAGCATGTGGCCATTGTTGAAAAACATTAAAAGAAAAAATTATATAATTTCTCTTTTGAACAAAGAAACAAATTAAATCAACCAATTTTTCCAGCTGTCCAGGTAAGAATCAGTCTCAATAGAAAAATCAACTTTTATACAAGATGGTTACATAACTATGTAACTAAATTATTTAATTTGTAAAAATAGATCTAACTCTTATCCAACAATCATCTCAGAAAAAAATTGAAAAAGAAATTGTAAGTGGTTGTGTTGAAAGGTTACTCGCTCAACCAGCTTTCTCAATATCTGACAAAATAACCAGACATCAGACTTATTTATATTTTGAAAGAGCTTGTTGGTCAGTTTGAGAACTTTTCAGCAGCTCCTCCTACATAAGAAAGAAAAACATGTATATAAAATATGAGGAGTAGGAAAATGCTGATTGCAAAAGGAATTGAGAGAGAGAAAGAAAGAGAGAGAGACGTCTATGCAGACAAATGGATTCAAGCACATGCTGAGTTGTCTGTACAGCTGATGAGGTTGAAGAGAAGAATATCAAAGAGGAAGAAAAGAAAAAGGTGGGGGTGGGTAGAAGTGAAGACAGCACTGGCAGCCTGGTTTATTCGCAGAGTGACATTCAATTT